AATCTGTAGTCTTGTTTTCCCACTATATGTATCTTCAGTGCTTCATTACTACTCTCTCTATCCTCCAGGGCAACCACCAAAGGCTCCTGGTTTGTGTTCTTCCATCAACACTCTGTGGCCCCTTTGGTGCTAATCCCATTTGTGTCTCTTCTCTCTACCCTCTTCCCTGAACTTTCTTCCCATCCTTCCTTTCCCTTTCCCCTCTAGCCTTGCTTAGTTGCTAAATTTACCCATGCTTTGCCTGTCTGCCTCTGGGGGGTGGGCAAGAGCTTCACCTGGGTTGCTGCCTAGAACATCACCAAGGCAGGGCTGGGTGACTGGCATGCTGGCTCTACCCACAGCCCTACCCCTTCATGGCAAGGCCCAGGGACACCCTCCACTCCTGCTAGCCTTGATTTCCCAGCTCAGCTATTCTTGGGGGCTTGGCACCTGGCCAGGTCAGAGAAGATGGGACCAATGCAAAACTCAGCACTGGCACAGTCTCCACTTGGAGTAGTCTGAAAGATTTGTGCTCACAGGTACACTCCAGACACCTTGCCCTGATATTCTACACTTACCACAGACGAACACCCTGCCTCTACCCTCTTCTGGACAAGGTGTGGGTCCACAAAGCCCCAGGTATACAGGACCTGGGTTGCCTGCCTGGTTGCCTCAGTCCTATCTTTTTCCAGAACCCTCTTGAGCTGAGATACAGAATGGGCAGAGGATAAGATGCATGTAGAAAATTGGGCAATTGTGCCATGTTCCCATGCCCAAATATGGCTTGGGGCCCAGAGGGGCCTGTCAAGGGATTTAGGAGAGGAATCAAGAGAGGCAAAGTCATTTGGGCATTGAAGACTTGCAGGAGTGGAAGGTAGGGGGACTGGAGTGCTCTGTCACTGACCCAGAGGTGGGAGCAGGCTCCCATGGGCACAGGACCCTACAGGGAGGAGCTAACTGTAGGTGGGGCAGGCAGAGGAAATCTTCATTAGGCGAAGGATGTCTCCAGTTTCATCTTTAGGAACTTCTGCCCGTGCTCCTTCCTGGCCTGCCAGCTTTCTGCCTTGTAATGACTGGGACTGAGACAAGATGGAGATGTTTCCTAGATGCCAGCAGGATTCCTAGGGACTGGCATCTGGACATGCAATCAGTTGCCTCAGACACCTACTCTCTACGAGAACTTGTGGGTGGGCAAGGGTACTGTGTGTGGATCATGACTGTGTATGGCTGCTGAAGGCCATAGGGGTGAACCTTTGAAGGCAGTCAGTGTGGTTATACTGACAGTAGGGTGTGAGTCTGCCTTTAAGCCACTAGGGCAGGGCAGCAGCAGGAGGCTCTGAGTCACCCACAATACCCCCTGACTACCTCCACATCCACCATGACTCCGTCCTGCTCTCAAATGCCCCACCTCTAGTCTAGTCTAGCCCCCACATCCCAATAGTCCTAGCAGCAAACCTTACCCCAGCACAAGACCTCCCTCACACCAAGAAGTAGGGGCAGTGTGAATGAATGTCCCTGGATACTCAGCCGTGGATGGAACAAACACTGCAGGGCAGGTACGGTCCCCTTCTAAAGACAAGAAAACCAAGGAACTCCTGCTTTGGCCCCGTCTGATGAATTCTGAAACAGTTGGCATTATTCCTTACCCCTTCCTCACCTCTAGGAGACGCCTATTCCTTTGTGCTGGGGAAAGCCAATAGCATCACATATCACACCTTGGCTACCCACAGAATCCTTTCTGCAAATCTCACCGGGTGGGAGTAGGGCATGGGAAAGGGAGAGTGTGACTCACACTTGTCCCACATTCAGACCTCAGACCATCCTCCAGCTTTCCAGAAAACAACAGATTCAGGTGTTCTCAGAGGAAGGCTATGGTTTGCTGGGCCAACTCCTCCGGGGCTTAAGAGCAAGGCTTTGTCTCCTGTCCTCTTCCAGGCCAGTAAGTCCCTTATCCCACTTTTATAGCCCACAGCCAAAGGCTCCTTGGATATACCTGGGACTCCAGGTATGTCTCTTCACTCTAATTACCTTCTTCCCTGATTCCTTATTGCTCTAAGTCCAGAAATCCCTGGGTGTGGTCTTCTGTAGGCTTTAGTGGCTGCCTAGCTGCAAGCATCCAGCAAACTAGTCAGCCTGGGAAGACTAAAAATGAAGAGGCTCATGGCCTTTCCCACCATAGCCAGAGGTCCTGGCAAGCAGTACAGGACCTGGTACTGGGGAGAAAGTTCAGGAAGGAAAGGGACTCCCGTGGATCTGGAAACCTATTGCCTTACTACTCTCTCCAGGAGTGGAGCTTGGGATGAGCAGATAGACAAACAGACAAAGACAGACACAGTGACATCTCAGCCTCACTTTTACCTCACCTTGAGGCTGTGGAAAAGTTTGGGACAAATTTTCTTAGCCTCAGCTTACTAGATGTTTATCAAATGTTAAAAATGTTATAGTCACTGGGTGTTGGGTACGTAAAGAAACTACTTGAGTTCCTTTTCCACCATTGAGAAGTGACAGCAACCTCCTGTCCTTTGAAAATTCGAGACCATGGTGAGTAGGAGCCCAGATTTTGTTGGTAAATGGGAGGAAGTGGGCAGACACATGGGCCAAGTGCTAGGAAACCTAGTACCTCCAACTGATCAGGGTCATCTGCTGTTAGACTCCATTCCAGAAGTTTCTCAGTAGGGCAGGGATTCTCCATGAATGCACCTACCACCTCTGTATACCCCCAGACACCTCTGACACCCGAATTTAGGTATAGCCCACCCCCAAGTCTGTTGGAGAACTGAACCTGACTTCATAGCTACTCTGTCAATGGCAGAGCCACAGGTAGTAAGATGTTACCCTGACCAGCTTGGCTTGGACTCTGCTCACTTTGTAGCATACAGGAAAGCACACATCCCATCCCTCCAGTTGACACTTAAATCTTAGGCTGGAACTAGGTGGCCTTGGAGGGCAACAGGAAGCAGTTCAGATGTCAGCTAACCTTTGATGATCAGAGGAAGTAAAAACAGTGTCAAGTGTCTCCTGTTTCACACATTTCCTCACCTGCACAGCCCCAGGATCCCAGCAGAACTGGGTAGAAGGTGGTGTCTCCCATTTATCATAGTTGAGGTAGAGTTGCTCAGCAGGGCCCAGTGCCCCAGGAGGAGGCTGCTGACACTGCACTTGGTGTCTGCGCCTTGGCAGCTGTCAGCCCCACATCTGTAGGCAAGCTCCCATAGCCTGCCAGACCTCAAGCCTTGCCTCTGCCGCCCTTGGCCTGGCCTGAATGCCTGGCACAGCCCTTCCATGTTCTCAGAGACTGCCAGCACATTTTGCTTGGCTGTGGCCTGGAGCAATCCTGCATGGAGAACTACACTGGCTTTCAGAGGAGCAGACAAGGAGCGCACTATTGGAGTGGTGACACAAGCTCCAGGAAGCCCATTCCCTTCCTGTGTTCACACCTGTGGTCACCAAGCTCAGCTCACCATGATGACCACTTCTTTCCTTTGCTCAGAGCTCCTTGTGATGGAGTACAAGGATAGCCAAAGAGGCCAATGAAGAGAAACTGAGACCCGGAGGCCCCAGTGGCAGGGGGAAGTGGGATTGGAGGAACTTTCTATAGGTCTTAACAGGGTCTGTCCAGAGAAGATCCCTTCCTGACTTTACCTGCCTCCTCAGTGTACGGGGATAAGGGTTTAGTTTGAGGGAGTTGAGGAATGGAGGCTTATTAGACTATTTGCAGTACCACCACTGTCACCATAACCCCTCTTAGTGATTCTCCCACCCATTCCAGGTCTCTGAATTACCTACTTACAGGCTCAGAGTTTCCCAGAAGTTACTCTCATTCATGGACCAGAAAGTTCAGACCCTAGAGTGACCAAAGATGGACTCTGTTCAGGCTGAGTAAACAGAGGACTTGGGAAAAATCAGCTCCTCTTTTTAGGCCTCAGTTCTCTCGTCTGTAAAGTGGTACTGGTGGTGCAGACATCAAGAAGGCCTACCCTCTGCACTCTCCTAATTTAATGGAATCCCCTTCTCTGAGCCCTGTGTCTGGCATGTGACCCCTTCCCTGCAGAATATTGAATCTGGTGACAGTTTTCTGAGTGAAAATGAGGGCTGTACTGGGAAGCCTGCCTGCTCCCTACCCCTTAAGCCTTGAGCCCTGAAAAATCAGCCAATCTCCATCCTCCCTCTGTGTGGGCCTTTAGCCTTCTATTTCAGGTTGAGCCTGGACGGGAACTGACAACAGGCTGGGATCTCCCTGTATCTTTCTCCTAGCCCCTGTGGATCCCACACCAATTTCCCCTCAAATCTAGTCATATAACACCCCCAGGGTTCTATAGCTCCTTTCTCTGGATGGAGGAGTTTGTAATCTGAACAGGCTGCAGTACATACAGAGGAACATCATGCCCGGAGTGTCTGTGGGCCACACAAGGCTTCTCAGGAGGATTCCTGACTAGGAAAAGGCTGTTCTGTGGAGATCTCCAGGCCACTCTAGTTCCAAAAGATCTGGATTGGCTCCATGAAGATGGCCCTCTGTCCAATTGCATCCCTTATCCATGCCATCTTCCCTGATTCCTAGCTTGTCCAGGTGGACTGTGGGTCTTGTAGCTCAGGTGGGCATAAATTCTAGCCTTGATTCATCCTCCTGCAAGGTAGCTTTGGCTGAGAGGAAAGGCAGGTAGGTGGGCAGTGCAGAGGGGAGCAGTGCCTCACTCTGTCCCTGCCATTTCATTTCACTCTCTAACCTCCCTTCTGCCTCTTCTGCCTTCTCTGGGCTGCTCTTGATCCTCCCAGCCCTTCTGGTCCATCTGCCCTAGGCAAGACTCCAACTCTGTCATGAAGGCTGCAAACTGCAAGACAACTTGGTAGTTCTAGCCACTCTGGAGCCAAGACCTTCTGGGGAATTCCTGTGTCTTGCTGAGCCAGGCTGGGGTGAACATCTTGAGGCTACTTGGAAAGAATAAGTGAGGCTGGACACTCACCCAGGTGAGGACTTCCTGTCACTTCAGGAGTCATCACCATACCCACTTCTGCACATAAAAAGGAAATTGAGCCAAGCCTTTGGCTGTGTACCCTACTTTGCTGTATGACCTTTGGAGATCAGAAAGGGTGCTCTATTCTCCCCAGGAAGCAGGTTGGCACTAACCTCTGGGCAAGCCCTTCTGTCCACTGGTATAAAAAGGGAGCCAGGGCAGACCATGATAACCACTGGAGTTGGATCTCTTTGTGTGGATACACACACACACACACACACACACACACACACACACACACACGTGGCACTTTTCAAGCAACAGCACAGGGTGAGATTTCTTTTGGGGCTGGCATCCACTAGATGAGCAGTACTTGTGACTAACCAAACCAGGGTGTCCAAGCACCCCTCCACAACTGATGATGAGAATTTCAAAGCAGCAGTGATGCCAACTCATCAACTGGGTTCCTTCCACTTTTGCCTCCAGCAGTTGAGATCGGAGGGCCTTATTTAGCACAAATGGAGGCCCAAATATCTCAGATTCGCTACCAAAATGTGCCCCATACAAGGCACATTGAGCTAGGGCTGTTTTAAGACTTCAAGAGGCTGGGCTTCCTGTTCACACATGCACCAGGACAAACCCAGAAATCCAAGCCTGGGAGGCTAGCAAGACCAACATGCATTCCCTATTTAGAAGATGGGGTGAACAGATCAAAATACCCTGAGCCTTTGCCATGGAGTTGGGCAAGGAGTGATAAGAGAGGCAGGGTCTGTGACCTTATCCTGCAAACTAGGTTCTGCTTGGGTGGTTGAATGCAGGAAGAAGAAACAAGAGATGTGGGTGCTGGGGGCAGGCTCAGGCAGCACAGAGTCTCCACCCCCACCCCACTGCTTCAGCCTGGGGGGCCTCTAGACAAGCCTAACCCTGTCCTGTTATTCTGGCAGCAGCCTGCTCTCCTTAGGATCCTCTCCATGATGCCAGGGTAGTGGGCACAAAGAAAGAGCAGAGAAACATGGTGTTGTTACAGCATTGCAGAATCTCTCTCCCTCCTTCTCTCTTCTTGTCTCTCCTTCTCTCCCTCTCTCTCTCTCTCTCTCTCTCTCTTCTCTTTCCTCCTTC